GCAGGGTAATGTGCCTTTCTAGGGATGTATCCCTCCAGAGGGGTAACTGGCAATGTCTGGAGACATTTTTGGTCATCACAACCAGGAGTGGGGTAGGCTGCTACTAGCATTCAATGAGTAGAGGACAGGGATGCTTCCAAACATCCTGCACTGCTCAGGACAGCCCCGCACAACAAAGACTTATCTGGACCAAATGTCAATAGGGTGGAGGTTGAAAAACTCTGCTCTAAGGGATTTCTACCATCTCGAGAATAAAATTCAGACTCTCTAGTACAGTCTGCAAGTCCCTAGCCTAGGTTTTCACCACTCCCCTTGGGACACTCTATCCAGCCACAAGCATCTTCTTTTCATTCCTGGAACCTACCAAGCTTGTTCCTGCCACAGGACCTTCATACTTGCTGTTTCCTAAGCATGAAGCGCTCTTCCCCAGATTTTCTGGTTGCCGACACCCTTTTCATTCAGGTCTCAGCTCACATATCACCTCCCCTGTGAGATTTACCTTGACCAACTCATCTGCCCCTCTGGCCTCAACACTCAACCCTCCCCCTCCCAACCCAAGGAACTTTCTGTAAACAACTATTTACAGTTGACCCTTGAATAACACAGGTCTGAACCATGGAGGTCCACTTACATGCAGACTTTTTTCTATAAATGTGGTAAAGTACTCTAAACGCATTTTCTGTTCCTTATGATCGTCTCTTTTTATTTTTATTTAAAAAAAATTTTTTTTTTCAACGTTTATTTATTTTTGGGACAGAGAGAGACAGAGCATGAACGGGGGAGGGGCAGAGAGAGAGAGGGAGACACAGAATCGGAAACAGGCTCCAGGTCTGAGCCATCAGCCCAGAGCCTGATGCGGGGCTCGAACTCACCGACTGCGAGATCGTGACCTGGCTGAAGTCGGACGCTTAACCGACTGCGCCACCCAGGCGCCCCATGATCGTCTCTTTTTAAATGTCTATTTATTTATTTTGAGAGAGAGAGAGAGAGAGAGAGAGAGAGAGAGAGAGAGAATCCCAAGCAGGCTCCACACTGTCAGTGCAAAGCCTGGACACCGGGACTCGATCTCCTGAGCCGAAATCAAGAGCCAGACACTTAACTGACTGAGCCACCCAGGCGCCCCTCTCCTAAAAGAACTTCTAAGAACCATGTTCTCCTTGCACATTTCTTTTTTTCTTTTAATGTTTATTTACCTTTGAGACAGAGAGCGAGTGGGGGAGGTTTGGAGAGAGAGGGAGACACAGAATCCGAAGCAGGCTGCAGGCTCCCAGCAGAGAGCCTGACGCGGGGCTCGAACCCACCAGCCGTGAGATCATGACCCGAACCGAATGCGGACGCCCAACCGACTGCTCCACCCAGGCGCCCCTCCCCTTGCACATTTCCAAGTTGAATCTACAATTTGTGTATCATAAGTTTAAATAGTGGGAGCCTAATATCCCAATTATCATATTCATATGTTAGGCTATAACTTTTACTGCACATTTTTAAATACACCTGCCATCACTCTTTAAAAAAACAAAATCTCTGAGCAGAAGCCGCCACCCTGGAGCCGCCTGCACCACCCAGCCACGGTCACCCCTGCCGTGGACGGCCAGCCCTTGGGCCTCATCTCCGTGGAGCTGTTTGCAGACAAAGTTCCCAAGCCAGCAAGCAGAAAACTTTCCTGACCTGAGCACTGGGGAGAAAGCATTTGGTTATAAAGCTTCCTGCTTTCTCAGGACGATTCCGGGATGAATGCGCCAGGGCAGTGACGTCACACGCCACGTCGGCATTGGCAAAAGTCCGTGTATGGGGAGAGATCTGATGATGAGAATTTCATCCTGAAGCACGTGGGTCCTGGCATCCTGTCCATGGCAGATGCTGGACCCAACACAAGCGGGTCCCCGTTTTTCATCCCCACCGCCAAGATCGAGTAGTTGGATGGCAAGTGTGTGCTCGCTGGCGAGGTGAAAAAGGGCAGGAATATTGCGGAAGCCATGGATTGCTTCGAGTCCAGGAATGGCAGGACCAGGAAGAAGATCACCATTGTGGACTGTGGACAAATCTAATAAATTTGTCTTGCAGTTGTTTTTTTTTAAGTTTTACAAATTTTACTATAATGTTTATTTACTTATTTTTGAGAGAGAGAAAAAGAGAGAGAGAGAGAGCCAGAGAGGGGCAGAAAGAAAGGGAGAGAGAAATCCCTAGCAGGCTCCAAGCTTTCAGTGCAAAGCCCAATGTGGGGCTCAAACTCATAAACCGGGAGATTATGACTGGAGGCGAAACCAAGAGCTGGAAGCTTGATGACGGAACCATCCAGGGCAGGCACCCAGTATTTGACTTGTGTTTTATCGTGATTACCAGAGATTCCTCTGTAGCTCAGCAAAGCTTCGCCCCCTCAGCCCCATTTGCTCAAAATATCTTGTCATCTTTGTGCTCCCCCTGAAGTCCTATGGGTTCCATATTTTCCTACCTTCCTCCAAGTCTGCTGGATTGCAGAGTTGTTTACTATTATGAAGTAAAAACTAAACAAAACCCCCCAAAACTCCATGAGCCTAATCACACAAGATCATGAAAATAAATGGAAATTAGGTAGGAAAAAAAATACAAGAACAGGCTCTTAACAGTTGGAAATTTTATTTCACTTTTTCTTTTTTGCTCCTTTAACTTGTATTTCCATTCTACTTGCCCTACAGGTTTCTACCTTAATGTAATATACTTAAAAGGTTTTTTTATTAGTCACTTTATCATACTTCTCTGCAACAAAAATGCCTTCGTGAAGTTGTATTTATTTTTTTAAGTCCTCTTTCCCCAGGGTCTAATTTTGAAGACTGTCCTGTGTTCTTAAGGCTGTGTTACCATTTTTCTCTGACTTATCACTACAATTATTATTTGAATGTAATTGATCAAAACAGCATAAATATACCACATTATGATCAGTAATTGTTATCTACTGCTCTCCTTAGCAGCACATATACTGAAAAAAAGGTAATTGTCATATATTTACATATATTTGTTTAGTTTTTAAATGTTTTTATTTATTTATTTATTTTTAATTTTTTTTTCAACATTTATTTATTTTTGGGACAGAGAGAGACAGAGCATGAACGGGGGAGGGGCAGAGAGAGAGGGAGACACAGAATCGGAAACAGGCTCCAGGCTCTGAGCCATCAGCCCAGAGCCCGATGCGGGGCTCAAACCCACGGACCGCGAGATCGTGACCTGGCTGAAGTCGGATGCTTAACCGACTGCGCCACCCAGGCGCCCCTATTTATTTTTTTAAGAAGTGATCTTGGGAACTCATTTTTATTCTTTTTTTTTTTTAATTTTTATTTTTTTAACGTTTATTTATTTTTGAGACAGAGAGAGACAGAGCATGAATGGGGGAGGGTCAGAGAGAGGGAGATACAGAATCTGAAACAGGCTCCAGGCTCTGAGCTGTCAGCACAGAGCCCGATGCGGGGCTCGAACTCACGGACCGCGAGATCATGACCTGAGCTGAAGTCGGCCGCTTGACCGACTGAGCCACCCAGGCGCCCCTAATTGTTTTTATTTAAATTCTAGTTAGTTAACATACAGTGTGATACTAGTTTCAGATATACAACATATAAAATATTTCATTCTAAATGGAGCTTCAAAAAAATTTTTTTTAAATTTATTTTGGGGAGAAAGAGAGAGAGAGACAGAGAGAAAGAGACAGAGTACGAGTGGGGGAAGGCCAGAGAGAGAGGGAGACACAGAATCCGAAGAAGCAGGCTCTATGCTGACAGCTCAGAGCCCGACATGGGGCTCGAATTCAAGAACCGTGAGATCGTGACCTGAGCCTAAGTTGTTTGCTTAACCAACTGAGCCACCCAGGTGTCCCCTAAATGAGGCTTTTAATGAAATGAATGGGGCTGGTGGTGGTGGTGGTGGTGGTGGGTGTGTGTGTGTGTGTGTGTGTGTGTGTGTGTGTGTTTCAGGTTCATCTACCTGTGGATACGTATTCCTCATGGCTGGAATGGGACAGAGTTTTAGGATAAGTGTTATTCCAATGTTTTGTTTTTACTGTAGTAAATACTGAGAAATGTTTTCACAGAAACAGGGGACTGGAATGGAAATTTTGTCATTGCTAAGTGACTCAAGGTCACACATGTTGAAACTCCTGTGTAATTTGCCACATATCACACTGTCACTCATTATCAGAAATTATTTGTAGTCATCTATCACCCAACAAGCCATGCCTCCTCCATGGAGATTGGAAGGAGAGAGGAAACCATCAGAACTGCAAAAGGATGTGTTGGCTGGTCTCTGGGGTCATTCTCTTTCCTTAGCCACACACGGTGATTTCACATGATGCTTTTGTCTGGCATCCAGGTTTTTATACTGGAGAACGACTACATCCTCAGTAGGTCCTGACAAGAGTGACAAGGATTGCCTTACTTCTGTGCAGTGGAGGAAGGACAATTGTAAAGGAGGGAACACCTTGGACCTCGGTCACTTTCACAGGCATATGGGTTTTAGGAGAGAGAACACACAGAAGCAGAGATCTACACAGATTCTCTTTTGCTCGAAACCCCACCGGGATATAATTGAATGCAATACAACACACCCATTTAAAGTAGCCACTGTGGGGGCGCCTGGGTGGCGCAGTCGGTTAAGCGTCCGACTTCAGCCAGGTCACGATCTCGCGGTCCGTGAGTTCGAGCCCCGCGTCAGGCTCTGGGCTGATGGCTCGGAGCCTGGAGCCTGTTTCCGATTCTGTGTCTCCCTCTCTCTCTGCCCCTCCCCCGTTCATGCTCTGTCTCTCTCTGTCCCAAAAATAAATAAATAAATAAATAAATAAATAAAGTAGCCACTGTGATGAGTTCTGACATATATGCCTGTATCATCCCCACCATATTCGAGATATAGGAAGGAAATGTCCATCATTCTGGAATGTTCCCTCCTGCTGCAACCTTCCAGTCAATTCCTCCTTTCCCAGGTTCCAGGCAGTTAGTGGTCTGCTTTCAGTCACCGTATACAGCAGGTGGCCCTTCGCATCTGGTTTCTTTTACTCAGCACGGTGATTCTGAGACGGATCTAAGGTGTAGCTCCTTTTCATTGCTGAGTGGTCATCGCCATATGGATGTATTGCAAATTGTTTCCCGTTCACCTGTTGATATTTGGCTTGTCCCAAATATCCAGTTTGGGGACATTATGAATAATGCCCCTCCAAGTACAAGTCTTTGTGTGGACATCCATTTTCATTTCTCTTGCTTGAATATCTAGGAGAGAGCCGGGTGGAAGGTCTATGTGGAAAACAGATCCTCTTAACACTGTCCTTGTCCGCAGCATCCTCTTCAGAAAGCATCTTTATTAACCTGAATCCAATGAAACTTTCAGATCTAAAGTTCACAAAATACATATGAGACAGAGGAACAAATTCAACCACACCAACGAAGAAACAAAAGAAATCCGGGATGTGCGACAGGTGGTATAATTGGCTCATTCTCTTCAGCAAGATGATGTTATTTAAAAAAAAAAAAAATGGGGGACTGTCCATTAAAAGACACTTAAGGCTCAGGACAAGGAAATGCAGTAAATGATCCTTAATTGTGAGTAAGCAGAAATTAGATTCAGACCGAGAGAGGAAACACTCAGCCTGGCCATTCTTCGGGCTGGGATAACAGACACAGCAACACTAATTGCAAAGCTAACAGGAAACGAGATTTCTCTCAAGGATACTCCATACCTGTAAGGCACCAAAGTCACCTCCTTCTTTGATTGACTGCCCCTTTCTTACTCACTGAGGATTTTGCTTTCTGAAATTATAGAAAATCTGCCGTTTGAAATGATATCGCTACCAAGGAAGCACCTGTCTCTCTCCTAGAAGATGGGAGAAGTTACCTTGATTTCCAACACAGGTACAGAGCTGCAGATAAGGGCTTTCTGAGCACAACAGTCTGGTCACTTCACTGCCCTGGGTCCACTTTGCAGTCAAGGCTGATATTAGCCCCTTTAGTCATAACGATGTTTTGCTTTGATCTTACCATACCCCGCTTCTGCTGCCCCTCCCGCTGCCAAGCCCACGGTCTATTCTCCATCCAGCAGCCAGAGTGACCTGTTAAAACCTAATTCAAGGGGCGCCTGGGTGGCTCAGTCAGTTAAGCGTCCCAAATCTTGACTTCGGCTCAAGTCATGATCTCACGGTTCGTGAGTTCAAGCCCTGCATCGGGCTCTGCGCTGACACTGCGGAGACTGTTTGGGATTCTCTCTCTGCCCCTCCCTTGCTCGCTCTCTCAAAATACATAGACTTAAAAACAAACCAAAAAACTTAACTCAAGTTACACTGCTTTTCTGCTCAGTTCCCTCCCATGACGTCCCGCCTCGCTCCAAGAATAAGCCATGTGCCCTGTGGTGGTCTGGGAGGCCCTACCTGATCTGGCCTCTGAGGACCCAGCAGGATTTTTTGGTTCCCAAATTTGACCGTGTCTGTTGGAACTACTCAGCTCTGAGGTTGTAGGGACACAGTAGCCATAAAAACAGACATAAAGAAACGTATGGGACTGCGTTCCAATAAGACTTCATTTGCAAAAACAAAGGGCTGGTGGCTGTTTGCTGGCTCCTGGCCAGGACACTGCCTGATGCTCCATAAATATTTGTCGAGTGAGTTCGTGAAGGAAGACAAGGGCATGTTTTTCATCCAGGAGGAGAGAAGAGCCAATTAAGCGTTTTCAGGTAGTGTTAAATGCTAGCATGAAAATAAAGCAGGTGATGAGTTAGAGGGAGTGGGGTTACTCAGCGTAGGTTAATTAGGGAAAGCCTCTGGGAGCCCTGAGGGGAAGCAAGGGCCACTTGAAGATCTGGGGGAAGAAGGCTCCAGGCAGAGGGCTTAGCAGGAGTTGAAGGCAGGAGGTGAGAATGAGCTTGGCGTGCTCGAGAGACAGAAAGCCCTCCGTGTGCCTGCTGAACAGGGACTGAGGACAAAGAGGTATAAGATGACGTTGGAGATGGCCAGGGGCTTGGTCACACGGGGCCTCGTAGGATTTTTTTTTTTTAACTGCTCTATTTTGCTTCTTTTATTCTAATTTCTTTTATTGTGGCAAAATACACACAACAAAATATTTATTTTTGAGAGAGAGACAGAGAGTGAGTGGGCGAGGGGCAGAGAGACAGGGAGACACAGAATCCGAAGCAGGCTCCAGGCTCTGAGCTGTCAGCACAGAGCCCAACATGGGGCTGGAACTCACGAACCTGCAGATCATGACCTGAGCCACAATCGGATGCTCAAGCAGCTGAGCCACCCAGGCGACCCCAAGCATCTTAAGCATTTTTTAAGGGGACGTTTCTGTGGCATTAAGCACGTCCACACTGTTGGGCAGATCTTACCACGTCCATCCCCAGAGTGCTCTCCTCTTGCAGAACTCCAAGTTCACATCCATTAAACACGAACTCCCCACTTCTCCCCTCCCCACAGCCCCTGCCAACCACCATTCTACTCTTCATCCCCATGAATTTGAATACTCTGAGAACTCACACCATATGGGCCCTTCTTTGACTGCCTTATCTCATTTAGCACAGCATCTTCAAGGCTCAGAGTTTGTAGCCTGTGTCAACATTTCTTTCGTTTTTAAGGCTGAGTCATTTTCCATCGTATGCAGAAGCCACATTTGCTTTATTCAACAGTGGGCAGACACTTGGATGGCTTCCATTGCTTGGCTCTTGGGAATAATGATGCTATCAACTTAGGGTGCAAATATCTGTTTGGGTCCCTGCGTTCAATTCTTGTGGGTGCCGACCCAGAAATGGAATTGCTGGATCGTATCTGGCCGGGTTGTGGACTAACCATGGTGGGGAGGCCATTGCGGGTTCTGTGCGGGGGGGTAGGGGGGGCGGTGTGTAGCTGCCTTGCTTTTAACAGGACCCCTCTGGCTGCTGATGGCAGTGGGAAGGGGCAGGCACAGGACACCAGGAAGGAGGCTGGTGTAGCAGTTCCCGAGAGCGACAGCAATGGCTGGTACCTTCCAGTGTGGCTGGGGAGGCCTCTGTGGAGCAAATGAGCAATTAAATGGTTGCAAATAGTGACCAGTACTATAAAATAAACCGACAGGAACAGGGTGCGAGGATTCAGGGAGAACTAAAAAGGATCTCTTGGGCATTCTTGTCGGCTGGATTCACTGAATCACGTACTAGCAAAGGGGCTGGTGTTTGAAATCTCCACCCTGCATTTTCATCACCCTTTATTTTGTAGGCTGTCCATTGGGTGGGTTTGGCTCAGGGCCCAGAGCCTCTTGGTCTAGGGTGTTTCTTAATTGTACAAGGGCTGAAGATGGGGACGAAGGGGACAGAGAAGAGAAGGGAAGGCCTTCGGGTCTGTGGCTGCGGGAGAAGCATGGGGAGGGCTTGGCAGGTCAGAGCAGGGCTGGGCCTTGTCTTTGCCACATCCCAGCTATGGGACCTTGCCCATTACCTTGCCTATTCCTGGAAAATGGTATGCTCGTTACTTATTACTCATACTTAGCATTTATTCATTCTCTATTTAACATTTCTACATAAGATGTAACTTTTCTAGAGCAAAGAACAACCACCTTGAACATCCGGCTCAGTGAATTTTAAAATGTGTATGTGTAGGGGCGCCTGGGTGGCGCAGTCGGTTAAGCGTCCGACTTCAGCCAGGTCACGATCTCGCGGTGCGTGAGTTCGAGCCCCGCGTCGGGCTCTGGGCGGATGGCTCAGGGCCTGGAGCCTGTTTCCGATTCTGTGTCTCCCTCTCTCTCTGCCCCTCCCCCGTTCATGCTCTGTCTCTCCCTGTTCCCAAAATAAATAAAAAACGTTGAAAAAAAAATAAATAAAATGTGTATGTGTAAACCATGTAACTACCACCAGATCTAGTTATAGAACTTTACCAGCTACTGAGGAGTTTCTCTTGTATCCCTTCCTAATCAATACCCCCTTCACACTTAACCATTATTCTGACTCTAATCCAAATCTATTAGTTGTGGGGCGCCTGGGTGGCTCCGTCAGTTGCGTGTCTGACTTCGGCTTAGGCCATGATCTCACAGTTCGTGGGTTCGAGCCCCCCATCAGGCTTCCTGCCATCAGCACAGAGCCTGCTTCAGAGTCTCTGTCCCCCTCTCTCTCTCTGCCCCTCCCCTGCTCATGCTCTCTCAAAAATAAAAATAAACATTAAAAAAAAAACATTTAAAATCTGTTAGCGGTGACTGTGTTTGATCCTCCTATAAACGGTGTTGTGAACAAATGTGCTCTTTTGTGCCTAGCTTTTTCTGCTCCGTCCTGCGTTTGGTGAGATTCCATTCTTTCTTTCTGTTATATGTGTTAGCAGTTTGATTCTTTTCTAATTTTTAAGATTTTTGAAGTTTATTTATTTATTTTGAGAAAGAGAGAAAGCCAGGGAGGGGCGGAGAGAGAGGGAGAGAGAGAGAGAATCAGGGAGAGAGAGTTCGGGGCTCGAACCCATGAACTGGGAGATCATGACCCCAGCTGAAATGAAGAGTCAGACGCTTAACCAACTGAGGCACCCCAGCAGTCTGATTCTTTTTTTTTTTTTTTTTGGCTGTGTAGTGATCTATTGTGTGCATAGGCCACAATTCATTCACCCTTTTGACTATGGATGGGCCACTCAGTGACATCTAGTTTTGGGTTTTTTGAACAAAGCTCTTATGAACATTTTTTATAGATGTTTTTCAGTGAACATAAGCACTCCCATCTCCCAGAAAGCAGTGGAGTTGCTGTGCCCCTGTGTAATCCTATGTTTAGCTTCAGCAGAAATTATCTAGCAGCTTTCCAAAGTGGTTGAACCAACGTCCATCCCCGCTAACAGAGGAGTTTTACTTCCGTATCTTTGCTGAAGCTTGGTATTTTCATTTCTGTCACTCTGGTAAATTTGTAATGGCTGGGTTTGGGTTTGTTTGTTTTGTTTCTTATTTTTGGGGTTTTTTTTTTTTTTTGCATTTCCCTGATGATGTTAAGAACCCTTTCATATGTTTGCTTAATCAATATTTGTTGAAAGAATTAATGAACAAAACGTTCATATGAAAATGGAAAATGTCCGTTTTGCCCCACTTGAAACCAACAGTGGCTCCCCGTTGCTCTTAGGGCCAAGCTGAACCCCCCCCCCCCGCCGTTGACCAAAAAGATCCTGCAAGCCTTCTGATCTGTCTTGCCCCAGATGGGTCCCATCTGCTTCACTCTCTGGATTCCTGCCACCCAGACCATCTTCTAGTTCTACTGACGGCCTGCTCTGTCCTGTTTCATGGCTTTTCTGTAAGCTGTTTTCTGCAGCCTGGAACACAATCCAGGCCCAAGACTGGACTCATCGCTTGCATCTCAGTGCATAAACTTCTTCCCCCCAGAAGCCTTCCTTGACTTCCACTGCCAGCAGGCCGGGGCCCTCGTTGGCCCTCTTCCACTTTTTCTTCCCAGCTTCTACCAAAGCTGTAAATAGCCTTTGCTTTATGTGATTATTTAATTAACCTGCCCTCCTACCATAAAAAATACTTTAAAAAACCCCCAACACTTTGGGGGCACTCTGAGACTCAGTGAGTAGAGCATCTGACTCTTGATCTTGGGGTCATGAATTCGAGCCCCATGTTGGGTTTAAAGATAACTTAAAAAAATCAAACAACAAAAACAAGAACAAAAAACCCAACCCGAAGACTGCGAACTGCATAGGAACAGCAACTTTCTCTCGTTCCTAGCAAGCCCTGGCGTATAATAGATGCTCAATAAGTATTCGTTAGATGTATAAATCTCAAAGCAACCGGCCAAGGAGCATTATCACTTGAAAGAGATTATCCCTTAAAAACTCACCCTGAGGGGAGCCTCGGCCAATAAAAAAATCACAGAAACCAATCCTATCTCCCTAAGTCCTTGGCAGGGGTGGGGGTGGGGGGGGGGGGTCCCCAATCAATCACCATTCCTGTTTTATTTGGTGCAGCTGGGGGTGTGTGTGTGTGTGTGTGTGTGTGTGTGTGTGTGTGTGTGTGCGCATGCGTGCGCGCGCGCGCGCGTGTGTAATGGAAACTATACATCAGGCAAAGGATTAAGGGGGAGAGAAGGAAGGAAAGGCATTGCTGGTGTCACAGTGAAAGCTTAGACACTCAGGCCCCAGTCCCAGCTCCTCTGTCACTAACTACCTGTACATCAAACAGTGCTGAGGCAATATGGCAAAATGGTCAGCGTTACAGATTCCTTCCTTCCCGGTCTGCCTGAGTTCAAAGAGTGGTTTGTAGCCCCACTGCCTCCGTAATCCCTGACAAATCACTCTGCCTCTCTGGGGCTCAGTTTCCTCAACCACAAAATGGGGATCATGATAAGAATACTAACTTCATGGGGTTGTTGTGAGCATGTAAGTTAATTCATGTTCATTGCTAAGAACATGCCTTTAGGAAGTCCCATGACTGTGAATGCCTGTTAATTATCACTACAGGTGGTTCCAGACTTAAATGATGGCTTGACTTACAATTTTTTTATTTCACGATGGGGTGAAAGCTATATGCACTCTGTAGAAACTGGACTTGGAATTTTCTATTTGGATCTTGTCCCAGGCTAGCGATATGCCCTATGATACTTTCTCACCATGCAGCAAGCTGTAGCTCCCAGTTGGTCACATAATCAAGAGCAGTTAAAACTGATTCACAACCATTCTGTTTTTCAGTTTCAGTACAATATTCAACAAATTATGGGACATATTCAACACTTTATTACAAGGTAGGCTTTGTGTTAGATCTGATTTTGCCCAGCTGTAGGCTAATGTATGTGTTCTTAGTACATTTAAGTTGGCGTAGGCTAAGCTGTGATGTTCTGTATCTTAGATATACTAAATGCATTTTCTTTTTTTTTTAATGTTTATTTAATTTTGAGAGAGAGAGAAAGAGAGAGAGAGTACAAGCAGGGGAGGGCAGAGAGAGGGAGACAGAGGATCCAAAGCGGGCTCTGCTCTGACAGCAGAGAGCCCAATGTGGGGCTCGAACTCATGAAGCCAAGATCATGACCCGAACATCATGACAAGAGCCAAAGTTGGCCACTTAACGGACTGAACCACCCAGGTGCCCCCTAAATGCATTTTCAACATAGGATATTTTCAACTTAACATGGGTTTGCCCCATGTAACCCCCACCTGAGTTGAGGAAGATATGTCTCCAGGCCTCAGTTTACCTCTAAGAGGATCAAAAACCTGGTTATTTGAGTGCTGCTAAAGATGATCTTGAAAATGGCAAGGTGCTTTCTACCTATGTGGGGGGGTGACAACGGTTTGGGATGGAGACTGGAGTCTTCCCGCCATGACCCCTCTGGCGCAGATGGGTCATGGGTTCAGATCCCACTTGTGCCGTTGGCAGCTGTGTGACCTTGGGCAAGTCACTTCACCTCTCTGGGCCTCAGTTTTTCCATCTGTGAAGGGTAGACCGATGAGCATATCCACCTCCTACTGTCTCTGTCCTCTGTATCAGCTCTGGACTCAGCTGGCGGGGCTGACCCGGTGACCCCGGAGAAGTCACTCAACCTCTGGGCTCCTAATAAGGATCCAATGAGGATACAGCTAAGCCGTTTGGCACTGTCCTGGCTGGCGGAGGGCTCAGTACCTGTTTTCTCCTGGCGATACTATTACCGTTGCTGTCGCCGTCGCCACCGTGGGATTGGAAAACGGGTCGCAAGGTCCGGCCGCAGGGGTCCCCGCAGCTCCTGGAGGACACACACCCCCGCCCGGGCCCCCGCCGGGGTGGGCGCCGAGGGGCGCAGCGTAGCCCGCCGGCACCCCGCGGCTGGAGGCGAGTCGGGCGCAGGGGCGGGGCGGGGCGGGGCGCCGCATCCCCGTGACGCGCCGGCCAACC